CACATAATTGTCATTGACCCAGGTTCCATATGGCACACATGGAACAGTAGATTTTCAGGGCGAGGGTCATCCATTCTTAATATCTCGTATGGCCACCATTGGAGTCCAAAATCAATCAGATCCCGAATTGTGGCCTGGGGAATGTTTATTGACTCTGCCTGCAGTACTTGAGCAACTGTCGGAGGTTCTGTGGTTCTTGCTGACGTACTTGCAGTCGTTGCTAATTGCATCCCATAAATGTTCGATTGTGTTTTTAATCTGGAGACATGGAGGGCCATGACAGGGCCTGGGTGTCGTGATTTATGTTGTCAGTTTTACCGTTTGAGGTCGGGCGTGGAAAATGACGTTCGCTTGTTGCATAACAGGAAGCACGTGTGGCCGAAGAGTCGCACCAGTGTAACGTTGTGCCGTTATATTCCCCAGAACTCCGTGACCTCGACACCATTGACGTCACAGTTGATGATGCAGGTCCGTCAAAATGACATCTCGAACTTATCGGCTTGCGCGAATACCGTCAGCGCGTAAACGGTTTTTCGCTGTCTCGGGTGATATCCTTCGCGATCCTGGTATGGCCGTAGTTGTAGAGGTGGCCGTGATGGTTCTTTCACATAAGTAACGTAGCCGTATCAATCTGTCCTGTGCACTGGTAGTGATACGTGGTCGACCGGATCTGGGAAGGCTACGTGTTGTTCCGTGTGTCTGAAAACGGGCCAGGATAGGTAACAACAGGTACCATCTTTTACTATGACGCGGACGGGGATTGATCCACCGGCCTTCCGCACTCCGGATCTCCGGGCAGACGCTCTATCCACTACACCACGGAGGCGGTCTCCAGACAGACGCTCTATCCTCTAGACGACGGAGGCCGTCTCCGGGCAGACGCTCTATCCACTACACCACGGAGGCGGTCTCCAGGCAGACACTCTATCCACTAGGCCACGAAGGCGGTTCCTCTCACAGACGCTCTATCCACTACAACACGGAGGCGGTTCCTCTCACAGACGCTCTATCCACTACACCACGGAGGCGGTCTCCAGACAGACGCTCTATCCACTAGACCAGGGAGGCGGTCTCCCGGCAGACGCTCTGTCCACTAGACCACGGAGGCGGTCTCCAGACAGACGCTCTATCCACTACACCACGGGGGCGATCTCCAGACAGACGCTCTATCCACAAGACCACGAAGGCGGTCTCCGGACACACGCTCACGTTCTATCCACTAGACCACGGATGCGGTATCTGGACAGACGCTCTATCCTCTGGACCACGGAGGCGGTCTCCGGGCAGACGCTCTATCCACTACACCACGGAGGCGGTCTCCAGGCAGAAGCTCTTCTCCACTAGACCACTGAAGCGGACACAGACACTCTATCCACTAGACCAGGGAGGTGGTCTCCGGACAGACGCTCTATCCTCTAGACGACGGAGGCCGTCTCCGGGCGGACGCTCTATCCACTACACCACGGAGGCGGTCTCCAGGCAGACACTCTATCCACTAGGCCACGAAGGCGGTTCCTCTCACAGACGCTCTATCCACTACAACACGGAGGCGGTTCCTCTCACAGACGCTCTATCCACTACACCACGGAGGCGGCCTCCAGACAGACGCTCTATCCACTAGACCAGGGAGGCGGTCTCCCGGCAGACGCTCTGTCCACTAGACCACGGAGGCGGTCTCCAGACAGACGCTCTATCCACTACACCACGGGGGCGATCTCCAGACAGACGCTCTATCCACAAGACCACGAAGGCGGTCTCCGGACACACGCTCACGTTCTATCCACTAGACCACGGATGCGGTATCTGGACAGACGCTCTATCCTCTGGACCACGGAGGCGGTCTCCGGGCAGACGCTCTATCCACTACACCACGGAGGCGGTCTCCAGGCAGAAGCTCTTCTCCACTAGACCACTGAAGCGGACACAGACACTCTATCCACTAGACCAGGGAGGTGGTCTCCGGACAGACGCTCTATCCTCTAGACGACGGAGGCCGTCTCCGGGCAGACGCTCTATCCACTACACCACGGAGGCGGTCTCCAGGCAGACACTCTATCCACTAGGCCACGAAGGCGGTTCCTCTCACAGACGCTCTATCCACTACACCACGGAGGCGGTTCCTCTCACAGACGCTCTATCCACTACACCACGGAGGCGGTTTCCCGGCAGACGCTCTGTCCACTAGACCACGGAGGCGGTCTCCAGACAGACGCTTTATCCACTACACCACGGGGGCGATCTCCAGACAGACGCTCTATCCACAAGACCACGAAGGCGGTCTCCGGACACACGCTCACGTTCTATCCACTAGACCACGGATGCGGTATCTGGACAGACGCTCTATCCACTACACCACGGAGGCGGTCTCCAGGCAGAAGCTCTATCCACTAGACCACTGAAGCGGACACAGACACTCTATCCACTAGACCAGGGAGGCGGTCTCCGGACAGACGCTCTATCCACTAGACCACGGAGGCAGTCTCCAGACAGACACTCTATCAACTGCACCAAGGAGGCGATCTCCAGACAGACGCTCTATCCACTAGATCACGGAGGCAGTCTCCAGGCAGACACTCTATCCACAACATCACGGAGGCGGTCTCCAGACAGACGCTCTATCCACTACACCACGGAGGCGGTCTCAGGCAGACGCTCTATCCATTTCACCACGGAGGCGGTCCCCAGGCAGACGCTCTGTCTGTTAGACCTTGGAGGCGGTCTCCGGGCTGATGCTCTGTCCTCTAGACCATGGAGGCGGTCTCCGGCTAGACGCTGTATCTATTAGACACACACACCCTTCTTTCTACTGGATCACTGAAAATAAGTGATGACAAAAAGAAAGCTTTACATAATTCCAATGGAATAAAAATTATGATCACGTTGATCTGACCCCGACACTTGTTATACTATCGTATTCTTAACGAGTCTTTCAAGAAACAACAATTAATAAATCGTTTTACCCAGAACCTGAGATACAGGATCTGAATGAGATACGATGAAAACGAAGGCGTGGCAGCACGGGTTGATAACACGTCTACAACAATATTGGAACAACTCTCTGTGTCCGTACAACTGTGTGTTGTGACATCGGTAGTCTATTAGTAGCTAAGTAACGTGACAGGGGTGTTTAAACAGTTAACAATTTTGATTTTATCAATATTACTATGTCCACATATGAACTGGCCCTGGGATCTTGTCGATTCTGTTTAATTACCACGAATATATAGTAAACTACGTTTATAACGAACACGCTTATAACAAACTGACGGATATAACGAACTTATTTTTGTCCTTGCCATGTGCTGTACATTTGCTGTATATATGCTTATAACGAACTACGGTTATAACAAACTAAAATTAGTGGTCCCTTTGAGTTTGTTATAACCGTGGTTTACTAATGTGGAAACGCGCAAATGAAGAACGACTTTACCGTGAGTACACCGAGATGTATCGAAACTTGCATACACGCATAGGACGAATCGACCCTCGCTTGCCTTTGTCAAAAGCTTAAGATACTCGGCGAGCCTGAGTATTCATGGTTAGGCCTTCTGTCCACATGCATGAGCATTGACGGTCTTGTATTTACACAGACTGTTTACTGTGCGTCAGCTGTGTGGGGACGACGGCCTTGTCTGCCACACAGACCCTGACACGAATACATCCGATGCAGCCCATTCAAGTCTATACTAGTTGGCAAGTCTAGATTACTGCAGATGAAAATAAAGAGTCTCTGGCTCCTTTGGGTATATTTTATCAAGATAATTTAACAACTGTTTTCTGTATAAATATTTTCATTTAAACTAGATGTTAGTCCAGACGGTGCCTTGAGAAAGAACATGTAGGATTTGTACGGATATTGAATCAGCGTGTGTGCAAAGAGAATGTAGTTTCAAATAAGTATTATAAACCTATGTCAGCAATCTGACCAGAATAGCGTGTCATTGTAGTTAGAGATTCTATGGCAAGTAAGATAATTGTGCAAAGATGCTCCTGGACATAAGCGTTGGGGAATGATTGGAATTTCTGAGCGGCACTGGTGGGTGAGTTGTCTAAGGCGCGGCTTGTAGCATTGCAGGGATGGTCCCTCGGCGTGCCGGATCCTGTTGTTGTGGGTTCGAATCCCAGATTCGCCCTTTGTATGAGTCTTGGTTTTTAAGCCCTGTACCCGTGCTCCTGGTCATATATTTCAGAGACCGCTTCCGTGGTCTAGTGGTAGAGCGTCCGCCCGGAGAGCGGAAGGTCTGGGGTTCGATCCCCGGCCGCGTCATACCAAAAGACGTTAAACGATGGTACTTGTTGTTACCCTGTCTGTCGCTCGGCATTAAGGGGCTAAAACAAGGAATGGTCGGCTCGGAGTCAGTATACTGTGTCTGAGTGGGGTATCCATATTAAACTGCGGCATGATATCTCATTGTGCTAGCACTATAAATCGGCATCAGTCTGGACTAGTACAAGCAGCCACACACGTGCATACACGTGCAGGCACATCGCTTTATAAGCGCAATAATTTTGAACGCGACGTTAAACCCAATTTCACCTCACCTCACCTCATAGATTTCACCAAAGTCTGACACATGAATCTCCCAGGACCTTCCTTCCACACCTAGCCGAAAAGCCAGTGTTTCCGCGATACAAAGAGTGACAAAGGGGTCTTGTTAACTTCATCTGCTGGTGAAGATGTCGCATCTCATTATCCCCCTTCTCTCCCCGACAATGACTATTTAACTTCACACAGTAATTTGAATTTTAACCATGCATACTTCGCGAGTGCACTGGAGCACGCAGCCTAATAGTGTGAACATATCTCACAGAAATGACAGAGTTTCGAGTTATCCGGAGTTGGAGACAGGACGGGTGCCGATGTCTGAAATGATTTTCCTTTCTTCTATAGTCACACACTGCATGCCGTGACGTGCTGAGGTCACGCGGTAATTTAGGTCTTCCAGCCTTTGTGTGCTGCTCTATGACTTCCTTCATCAACAATAACGAATCTCTTTCAGCATGTCTGTTCAGCGTTGTCAGCGTCGGTTCAGCCGGAATGCCCCCCTCCGCAACCGTCACCACCATCCCCTACGACTCCAACACGACACCATCGCTCGGGCAGGATTTCGAAATCAAGTGTACCGTCCAAGGTTTTCCTTCGATCCTTGAGGTAAGGCTTTTACTTACTGAGGTGAGATCTAATCTTACCGAGGTGAGATCTATACTTACTGAGGTAAGATCTATACTTACTGAGGTAAGATCTATACTTACTGAGGTAAGATCTATACTTACCGAGGTGAGATTTATATTTACTGAGGTGAGATCTATACATACTGAGGTGAGATTTATACTTACTGAGGTGAGATCTATACCTACTGAGGTGAGATCTATACTTACCGAGGTGAGATTTATACTTACTGAGGTGAGATCTATACTTACTTATGTGAGATTTATACTTACTGGGGTGAGATCTATATCTACTAACGTGAGATCTATACTTGCTGAGGTGATATCTATACTTGCTGAGGTGAGATCTAGACATATGAGGTGATATCTATATTTACTGAGGTGAGATCTATACCAACTGAGGTAAGATCTATACTTACTGAGGTGAGATCTATATCTACTGAAGTGAGATCTATACTTGCTGAGGTGAGATCTATAGTTACTGAAGTGAGATCTATAACTACTGAGGTAAGATCTATACTTGCTGAGGTGAGATCTATACTTACTGAGGTGAGATCTACACTTGCTGTGGTGAGATCTATACATACTGAAGAGAGATCTACACTTACCGAGGTGAGATCTATACCTACTGAGGTAAGATCTATACTTACCGAGGTGAGATTTATTCTTACTGAGGTAAGATCTATACTGAAGTGAGATCTATACATACTGAGGTGAGATCTTTACTTATTGAGGTGAGATCTATACTAAAGTGAGATCCATATTTATTGAGGTGAGATCTATACTAACTGAGGTGAGATCTATAACTATTGAAGTAAGATCTATACTTGCTGAGATCTATACTTAATGAAGTGAGATTTATACTGAGGTAAGATCCATACATGCTTCGGTGAGATCTATATCTACTCAGGTGAGATCTATACTTGCTGAGGTGAGATCTATACTAACTAAAGTGAGATCTATACTTGCTGAAGTGAGATCTATACTGAAGTGAGACCTATACATACTTAGGTGAGATCTATACTAACTGAGGTGAGATTTATACTTACTTATGTGAGATTTATACTTACTGAGGTGAGATCTATATCTACTGACGTGAGATCTATACTTGCTGAGGTGATATCTATACTTGCTGAGGTGAGATCTAGACGTATGAGGTGATATCTATACTAACTAAAGTGAGATTTATACTTACTGAGGTGAGATCTATATCTACTGACGTGAGATCTATACTTACTGATGTGAGATCTATACTAAAGTGAGATCTATATTTATTGAGGTGAGATCTATACTAACTGAGGTGAGATCTATAACTATTGAAGTAAGATCTATACTTGCTGAAATGATATTTATACTGAGGTGAGATCCATACTTGCTGAGGTGAGATCTATATATAGTCAGGTGAGATCTATACTTGCTGAGGTGAGATCTATACTTACTGAAGTGAGATTTATACTGAGGTGAGATCCATACATGCTGCGGTGAGATCTATATCTATACTGAAGTGAGATCTATACATACTGAGGTGAGATCTATACTAGCTGAGGTGAGATCTATACTTGCTGAGGTTAGATCTATACTTCCTGAGGGGATCTATACTATTCTAATCTACTATTCAGCCGACGTGTCAAATATTCTGCTTCATATTTCAGTCATTTTGTAAAATTACTAAAATTGTCAGTTAGCAAATTGACTATTACATGTACAGAATCCGTACACACGTGGGAGATCCGTACACACGTGGACGATCCGTACACACGTCGACGATCCGTACACACGTGGACGATCCGTTGTTCATGTATTAGCTCCCAATACGTCATTATCTTCGCTCCATGTCTCCGAAGCCAGTGAGTTAGTGAGTGAGTTTTATTTTACGCCGCTTTTAGCAATATTCCAGCAATGTCACAGCGGAGGACACCAGAAGTGGGCTTCACACATTGTACCCATGTCGGGAATCGAACCCGGGTCTTCGGCGTGACGAGCGAACGCTTTAACCACTAGGCTACCCGACCGCCCTCTACAAAGTCAGACAGCGGGTAGTTTGTGGCTACAAGTGGCGCCGTGGGGTCAGAGAAGGTCCCCATTTGTATTTGGTTGTTGTTTTACGCCGCAACAAGCTATATCACGGCGGCCTGTAAATAATCACGACTGAGTGAGTATTGTTTTACGCCGTTTTTGCAAAATTCCAGCAATATCAAGGCGGGCACACCAAAATGAGCTTCACACGTTGTACCCCTGAGTGGAATCGAACCACTAGACCATACCCACCCCTGGTCATGATGAGCATCGATCTACGCAATTGGGATACGATGACAAAACCTTCGAGGTTATGTCCTATCTATCATGTGTATTTCTGGGGCAGTCGGGGAGCCTAGTGGTTAAAGCGTTTGCTCGTCACGCCGAAGACCCGGGCTCGATTCCCGACATGGGTACAAATTGTGAAGCCCATTTCTGGTGTTCCCCGCCGTGATATTGCTGGAATATTGCTAAAAGCGGCGTAAAACCATACTCACTCACTCACCCACTAGTGGTTAAAGCGTTCACTCGTCATGCCGAAAACCCGGGTTCGATTCCCGACATGGGTACAATGTGTGAAGCCCATTTCTGGTGTCCCCCCGCCGTGATATTGCTGGAATATTGCTAAAAGCGGCGTAAAACCTTACTCACTCACTCACTCACTAACTAGTGGTTAAAGCGTTCGCTCGTCACGCCGAAGACCCGGGTTCGATTCCCGACATGGGTACAATGTGTGAAGCCCATTTCTGGTGTCCCCCCGCCGTGATATTGCTGGAATATTGCTAAAAGCGGCGTAAAACCTTACTCACTCACTCACTCACTAACTAGTGGTTAAAGCGTTCGCTCGTCACGCCGAAGACCCGGGTTCGATTCCCGACATGGGTACAATGTGTGAAGCCCATTTCTGGTGTCCCCCCGCCGTGATATTGCTGGAATATTGCTAAAAGCGGCGTAAAATCATACTCACTCACTCACCCACTCATGTGTATTTCTGTCACAGGCATTCTGGTCGAGGAGACCTGCCCGGGGGATGGGGAAGCTGGAGCACATCTTCCCGCATAGCCTCCCCGACAGTACCACCCAACGGACGACCCCAGCTCCTAAATACAGCTGGCAGGAAGACACCCGTGACACGAGGTACCAGGTGAGCTATGTTTCACTGTCCATTATCTAAACAAAACACAAACAGGATGAGGACCTATGTTAATTGTTGTTGCAATGCAAATATGAAAATTACGGCATAATGGTTCATTTATTGCACTTGATATATAGTGAGTATGCATAGCTAATTTCTTCATGTTGATGACGGAAATGAAGGGTGATGTTTATATATGACGATTGTAACGATAGGGCTGTAAATTCTAAGTTGATATATGCCTTTTAATTTATGTTTCACAGGAAAATATTTTTTTGTCTATATCGATGAACTTGTACCAACATTTTTCGTTCGAAAAATGTCAGTAAAGCGTAGATATTGACTGAATAACCGTATTCCCATGAGACAAAAAAACAAAACAAAATGAAATATCTTTCACTACTTATAACACATTACTCAAAACACGAAAAATTAAAATGGTGTGTTAAACAATACCCACCCTTTTTCCTTTTGTGCAGTATGTAGAGAATCTCACCTGAGTGTCTTTTCATATCAAATACAAGTATACCAACACGAGTTGATAAAAGTGGGAAAACTCGGGGGCTTGACCCTTTTATCAACGAGTGTTGATATATTTTATATCAAAAGATACGATGGCGAGATTTTATTCATCATCCAACATCATTCTTCCAACTTTTTCAGTTTTTAGACAGTAATATGCAGTGTCGTAAGTGTAAAAAGTACTGCTAACAGCTTTAGTAGCAGAGCCATTAGTGGTGTAATTTGATTGTGGCGTCATGTAACAATGACGTCACAATGGTCTGCAAAGCATTGTGATGTAATTTCATTGCAACGATATCTACAATGTAGAACGCTTGATCTCACCCAAACGATATCTCCTGTGGGAGCCAGTTCTGGATGATAAATATAGTAACAGAGAGATCCCGTGCATACATTAATGGTTTGCTTTGTTACATTTAAGGTATTTGTCCTCACCATTCAATCTCTGACGTACAACGACGACGGCGACTACGTCTGCGGCATTTTCTGGGGCAGCTTCAACTTGACGGACAGTTACAGGATGGCTGTGGAAGGTGGGTGGGATGTAGTAATGTCCCGACCTTACCTATGTGTGCCCGCCCCCTCCCTCCAGTGTCCCCCAACCCCACCCGCCCCCTCCCTCCAGTGTCCCCCACCCCCACCCCCACCAACACAGTTACAGGATGGCTGTGGAAGATGGGTGGGATGTAGTAGTGTCCCGTCGTAAACTGTGTGTGCCCGACCCCTCCCTCCAGTGTCCCCCACCCCCACCCACACAGTTACATGATGGCTGTGGAAGATGGGTGGGATGTACTAGTGTCCCGTCGTTACCTGTGTGTGCCCGCCCCCTCCCTCCAGTGTCCCCCACCCCCACCCACACAGTTACATGATGGCTGTGGAAGGTGGGTGGGATGTAGTAGTGTCCCGACGTTACCTGTGTGTGCCCGCCCCCTCCCTCCAGTGTCCCCAATCCCACCCCACCCCCACCCCCTCCCCTTCTGTTGTACACACACAACAGTGAGTGAGTGTGGACAATGCCAGAGAATCACTAGTCTCGATTATCCACCGAAAAGGATTCCATTGAACGTAAGACGCAAAATACCGATGAAAATTATTTGAATGGATTACTGGAAATCAGTGATGACACCAGGTGGTCGGCGCTTTGGACATCCGTTCGGTCATATTACGGAATGTCAGCTTTATCTTGGACTTACGAAATGTAATTGTTAGAATTTAAAGAAAAAAAATAATTTACGTTAGGTGCCACGATTTTACAACAGGGCCTACAAGACCAAGTGGCTGGCCAAAAGGTCGCAGAATGTAGAGACTTTGTAGATGAGACACTACGTGGATGGTTACCAGTTTGGTGCTACCCACAAGCACATGCATGGTGCTGGCAATCGTAGAACTATCATCAGGGCGAACCGGGATTCGAACCACGGACGTTGTTTTCGAACACGTCTGAGGGACGCAACACTCTGTAACGTGAAGCTGAAGCTGTGTGTCGGTTGTTTTAGGTCGACCCGATATTTCTCCAATGGTGATGGAGAGGAATGGCATCGTGGGGTACCACGAGTTGATCACGGTGGAGTATATCACCCGACCCCGTCTCGACAACGTCACGTGGTACGGCCCCTCCGGTGACATCCTCGACACCAATACATCCAGGTCAGCCGCCGTCACTGTTTTCTGTCAAACATCATCTGTCGAACATTCTCTGTCAAACACTCTCTGTCCTTAATTCTCTGTCCACCATTCTCCGACAAACACTCTCTGTCAAATACAATCTATCCTTAATTCTCTGGCCACCATCTCCGACAAACACTCTCTGTCAAACACAATCTATCCTTAATTCTCTGTCCACCATTCTCAGACAAACACTCTCTGCCAAACACAATCTATCCTTAATTCTCTGTCAACCATTCTCCGACAAACACCCTCTGTCAAACACAATCTATCCTTAATTCTCTGGCCACCATTCTCCGACAAACACTCTCTGTCAAACACTATCTATCCGTAATTCTCTGTCAACCATTCTCCGACAAACACTCTCTGTCAAACACAATCTATCCTTAATTCTCTGGCCACCATTCTCCGACAAACACTCTCTGTCAAACACTATCTATCCTTAATTCTCTGGCCACCATTCTCCGACAAACACTCTCTGTCAAACACTCTCTGTCCTTAATTCTCTGTCAACCATTCTCCGACAAACACTATCTGTCAAACACAATCTATCCTTAATTCTCTGGCCACCATTCTCCGACAAACACTCTCTGTCAAACACAATCTATCCTTAATTCTCTGGCCACCATTCTCCGACAAACACCCTCTGTCAAACACAATCTATCCTTAATTCTCTGGCCACCATTCTCCGACAAACACCCTCTGTCAAACACAATCTATCCTTAATTCTCTGTCAACCATTCTCCGACAAACACTCTCTGTCAAACACAATCTATCCTTAATTCTCTGGCCACCATTCTCCGACAAACACTCTCTGTCAAACACTATCTGTCCGTAATTCTCTGTCGACCATTTTCTGTCAACCACTATCTGTCAAACAGTCTCTGTCCGATATTCTCTGTCAAATACTCTCTGTCGGTCAATCTCTGTCATACATTCTCTGTCAAACACTTTGTCAAATATTCAATATCAAACATTCGCCGTAAAAAGATCTATGTCAAACATTCAATGCCAAATGTCCAATGGAAACAATTCTCTGGCAAACATTCTTCGTCGGTGATTCACAAGGGTCATAATCGGTGTGAATCTTGGCCCAGCATATCTTAGCGCAGACAGTTCTATTCCTAATGTATGGTCTGTTTGTGCCAGGGTGTATGTCACGGAGTCGGGAAGATTGAAGGGGGCGATAGTCCTGCACATCACCAACTTCTCCCGTGACGACAAAGGGACGTACAGCGTGGTTCTCAACAACGACCGCGGCGAAGACCGGGTGGAATTTGAATTCAAGGGTAAGCTGGCATCACTGCATCCTCTGGACTGACGTACCTCCCCCGTGGTCTAGTGGACATAGCTTCTCCCGGTAGATCTGAAGGTCGGTTATTCGACCCCTAGAAACAAGAACTGGACTGTTCGGAGTCTGTATAATGTTTCTAAGTGGGGTATCCACGTAAAACTGCGCCATGGTAAAATGGCAATAATCTTAAAAGCGTCGTTAAACCCAACATCACTTAACCTCAAGACCGCCTCCGTGGTCTAGTGGTAGAGCGTCCGCCCGGAGAGCGGAAGGTCCGGGGTTCGATCCCCGGCCGCATCATACCAAAAGACGTTAAAAGATGGTACTTGTTGTTACTCTGTCTGGCGCTCGGCATTAAGGGGCTAAAACAAGGACTGGTCGGCTCGGAGTCAGTATACTGTGTCTGAGAGGGGTATTCATGTTAAACTGCGGCATGGTATCTCAGTGAGCTAGCACTATAAATCGGCATCAGTCCGGACTAGTACAAGCAGCCACACAAACACACACACGTACATGCACGTCGCTATAAGTGCAATAATCTTGGACGCGACGTTAACTCCAATATATGGTGTCACTCTACATTGAATATGTGGAATGTGTTGAATGTGTTGAATGTGTTGAATATGCGGAATATGTTTAATGTGTGTAATATGTGGAATGTGTGGAATGTGTGGAATATGTGGAATGTTTGGAATATATGACGTGTGTAATATGTGGAATATGTTTAATGTGTGTAATATGTTGAAAGTGTGGAATATATGGAATATGTGGAATGTGTGGAATGTGTGTAATATGTTGAAGGTGTGGAATATGTGGAATGTGTGGAATATATGGAATATGTGGAATGTGTGGAATGTGTGGAATATGTGGAATATGTTGAAGGTGTGGAATATGTGGAATGTGTGGAATGTATGGAATGTGTGGAATGTATGGAATATGTGGAAGGTGTGGAATATATGGAATGTGTGGAATGTATGGAATATGTGGAAGGTGTGGAATGTGTGGAATGTGTGGAATGTATGGAATGTGTGGAAGGTGTGGAATATGTGGAATGTGTGGAATGTGTGGAAGGTGTGGAATATGTGGAAGGTGTGGAATGTGTGGAAGGTGTGGAATGTATGGAATGTGTGGAATGTATGGAATATGTGGAATATATGGAATATATGGAATGTGTGGAATGTATGGAATATGTGGAAGGTGTGGAAGGTGTGGAATGTATGGAATGTGTGGAATATATGGAATGTGTGTAATATGTGGAATGTGTGGAATATGTGGAATGTGTGGAATATGTGGAATGTGTGGAATATATGGAATGTGTGTAATATGTGTAATGTGTGGAATATGTGGAATGTGTGGAATGTGTGTAATATGTGGAATGTGTGGAATATATAGAATGTGTGTAATTAGTGTAATATATGGAATATGTGGAATATATGGAATGTGTGTAATATATGGAATATGTGGAATGTGTGGAATGTGTGGAATATGTGGAATATATGGAATGTGTGTAATTAGTGTAATATATGGAATGTGTGGAATGTGTGTAATGTGTGTAATATATGGAATGTGTGTAATGTGTGGAATATGTGGAATGTGTGGAATATGTGGAATGTGTGGAATATATGGAATGTGTGTAATATATGGAATATGTGGAATGTGTGGAATGTGTGGAATGTGTGGAATATATGGAATGTGTGTAATTAGTGTAATATATGGAATATGTGGAATGTGTGGAATGTGTGGAATGTGTGGAATATATGGAATGTGTGTAATTAGTGTAATATATGGAATATATGGAATGTGTGTAATGTGTGGAATGTGTGGAATGTGTGTAATTAGTGTAATATATGGAATATATGGAATGTGTGTAATGTGTGGAATATGTGGAATGTATGGAATGTGTGTAATTAGTGTAATATATGGAATATATGGAATGTGTGGAATGTGTGGAATGTGTGGAATATATGGAATGTGTGTAATGTGTGTAATATATGGAATATGTGGAATGTGTGGAATGTGTGGAATGTGTGGAATATATGGAATGTGTGTAATTAGTGTAATATATGGAATATTTGGAATGTGTGGAATGTGCGGAATGTGTGGAATATGTGGGATATATGGAATGTGTGTAATGTATGGAATATGTGGAATATGTAGAATATGTGGAATATATGGAATGTGTGTAATGTGTGTAATATGTGTAATATGAGGAATGTGTGGAATATATGGAATGTGTGTAATATATGGAATATGTGGAATGTGTGGAATGTGTGGAATATATGGAATGTGTGTAATTAGTGTAATATATGGAATATGTGGAATGTGTGGAATGTGCGGAATGTGTGGAATATATGGAATGTGTGTAATGTATGGAATATGTGGAATATGTTGAAGGCTTGGAATATGTGGAATATATGGAATGTGTGTAATGTATGGAATATGTGTAATATGTGTAATATGTTGAATGTGTTGAAGGCGTGGAATATGTGGAATATGAGGAATAAGTGGAATGTGTGGAATATGTTGAAGGTGTGGAATATGTGCCAATTACAGGTCACATTTTAATTGCAACCTCTACTCTTACAACGCTGGAGAAAAAACGACACACAGAGGTATAATAAACACATATACAAACTGAATATTAATATTAATACTTTGGTATTGCGTAATGTCAAATAGTAATGTTCAATGTGGACGTGGTGTGTTGCAGCGGACCCCTTCCTGCAGGTTGTGACCCCCAACGCTACCACCCTACCCTACGGCTCTACCGCCGTCTTCATCTGCCGCGCCACCAACTTCAGGAGCCAGCCAATGGTGGGAGCACTGACACCATAGCAACTAACTGTTGTGCATCTGTACCACCAGTAATATAGTAATATAGAGAGCGGGCACTGGTGGCCCAGTCGTCTAAGGCGCCAAGGTACGCCGTGCGGAGTTGCGTCCATTGGACACGCCAGAAACCTATGATTGTGGGTTCGAATCCCGGTTCACCCCGATTATGTTTCTAGGTTTGTCAGCACCATACCCGTGCTGTTGGCTTTCACCGAAGTGGTAAACGTCTGAGACCTGCATCACTTGGGGCTTTCCTCCCACATTAAGCTGACACTCCGTGATATAACTGTAATATAGCGGTGTTAAACCCAACTAACCTTAGCGCTAAGATCGCTTTGTACAACGCGACCCAGGAGCAATAATCTGAAGCTTTCCTTCCTAATCCGCTTAATGGTGGGATAAGCCTGCCAATATTTAGCCATATCGTGACGGCCCAAACAGAAATACAACCGCTTTGCTCTGAAATTCTGAGCCATACAAAAATCACTTATTGTTTCTATATGGTTTATATTTATTGTGTCATTAAACATGTGTGACACGTGTCAGGTAAACCCATGCTTGCTGTAAGAGGATCGGGTGGTCAGGCTCGCTGACTTGGTTGATGCATGTCATCGTATCCGAATTGTGTGGATCGATGCTCATGACGTCAATCACTGGATTGTCTTGAGTATTTACAGACCGCCGTCATATAGCTGGAATAGTGCTGATTGCGGCGTTAAACAACAAAGAAAGAAAGAAACATCACTTTGTTGTATATTTCATCAGTTCGTGTGGCACCATGGATGGTCGAAGACGGTCCTGTCGATGGTGCCTGCCACAAGAAGTGTAACCATGAGAACAGAGATGATCCAGACCAGCAACGTTACCACGTGGATGTCGACGGCGACGATCCGAGGCATCAACTTCAACTTCATCGGCGTCCTTGAGTGTTCAGCGTCCGAGCTCGACGAAGTGTACGTCGACAGTAACACCATCAACGTGATTGGTAGGCGTCCATGTTGTTGTAGAGCTTACAAAATAAGACTGAAGAATCACATTGTCAATGCCTCGGATCTAGAATGTTGGTATGAGGGGGCGGGTGTGAGGCTGTAGTGGGTGTGGTTCGATTCACACCATGAGTTTTTTTGGGTTTATTTTGTTCCATAAATATCTTTCAAAAAGGGGTTGGTCTTTCCCCGACGTCATTGCTGAAAAACTGCCGTAACGAAGTTTTGGGACTAAATATATTTTCTCAAACCAGTGCTTGAAATGTTGCACGCGAATACGCCACGTATGTCAACCGTGTGGGTTCTTTTTAAGAATTGAGGTTCCCAGCAACATATACGTGTCGTAAGAGGCGACTAACGGGATCGGGTGATCAGGCACGCTAACTTGGTTGATGCACGTCATCGTGTCCCAATTGCGTGGATTGATGCTCATAATATCAATCATTAGATTGTCTGGTCCAAATTGTATTATGTTCACACCACTGTCATACATCTGGAAAATTGCTGATTGCGGCGTTTAATATCAACAACAACAAAACAGAAACAAACATACCATATTCCTTTGAAATAATCAACCGCCTCCGTGGTCAAGTGGTAGAGCGTCCGCCCGGAGAGCGGAAGGTCCGGGGTTCGATCCCCGGCCGCGCCATACAAATAGACGTTAAAAGATGGTACTTGTTGTTACCCTGTCTGGCGCTCGGCATTAAGGGGCTAAAACAAGGACTGGTCGGCTCGGAGTCAGAATACTGTGTCTGAGTGGGGTATTCATGTTAAACTGCGGCATGGTATCTCAATGAGCTAGCACCCTGAATCGGCATCAGTCCGGACTAGTACAAGCAGCCACACACACACACGTACATGCACGTCGCTATATAAGTGCAATAATTTAGGACGCGACGTTAAACCCAATTTCACCTCACCTCATTTGAAATAATCAAGTTGTCGCAGTGTCTGGTGTGACTGTCATCACTCGCCATGTCTCTTGCCCAGGGTCGCCGGTGATCCAGTCCAGTATGAGGTCCGTGGGGGCGATGTTGGGGGAGACGGTGGAGTTGCAGTGTAACGTGTCGTCCAACCCGCCCCCGACGCAGCTGCAATGGCTGTTCAACAGCAACACTATCAAATTCCAGCGGTTTGCGACGTGCGTACTCTTGTAGCTGTGTATATTCTCAACTTTGTTTGTACATTAAGGCAATCATAGATTCATCTTCCCGAGTCAAGGGTGTTAATAGACTACAAAAGTCCGGTTTCCAACCTTGCCGAACTTCGCTGGAATTTCCTGGCTGGGTCGTTCCACCGGCTTTTACGAGTTATCTCCCTTCTTTGTCCCTCCGACTGACTTATCAGATACCACCTCGCATATCACTTGCATTTGTTTCAAACAAAATGGCCGCGCCCAGTCAAGACGATCTAATCAATAATCAAGATCTATATTGTAATAAAACGGGTCTTACCTCGCGAAGTGCATCAAATCACCTGAGCACCTTTTTTAAAAACATTAAAAGATTTGTAAAATATCTGTCGACGCCTAGTTGACGGTTGACATGCCTAGCAAATCTTGCAGTCAATCGAAATCTGCACTTTGAAATCCACGTTGTTTACGAACCGGATGTTTAGTTCTTTGCGCGCTTTTGATTGGACTATGCATAGATTAGTTAGTTCAGCCAGAATGTAACCCCGGAATTCCTGCCTTGTTCGGCAAGGGTGGAAACTGGACTAAGTTAACTCCCTTGCCTCAGGAAGATGTCACAAATTTAACTGAAGGCTCACTCGGGCAGCTGCATGTGCTTCACAACGCGCTGCAGTTTGAGGGCTTTCACTGAACTTTAGTTTTGTCCGGTAATAATGTTATAAAGATCCACGTAAAAAAAGATTGACGGGATGTCACATGAAGAGTTACCTGCCCTTGCTTTAAAAAAAACTAAAGTTTTCTGCATACTTTTAAAAACCGAACATACATCTCGGTACCTGGCTATTTTGTCATGGCATAAAGCTCGTTATTAAAAGACAAAGATATTAGGCAAGTATGCAATGACTTATAGGATGGGAGTATTAACCAGTATCCTTAACATGGTAAATTTATTTTTCAGGAATTGGACTGCACGAGACGTAACTATGCAGATGCGTCACGTGGTTGAGGTCACGACAATAAACGACTTCGGCATCTATATGTGTCAGGTGACCAACATGTACGGCACCAACGGCTACAGCATTCACCTCATCGGTGAGAACACCCAGTATCTACATGTAGTTCACTCCATAGCTCGAAAGGTTTGGGTTCGATCCCCGTCCGCGTCATATAAAAAAAAATGTTTAATGTACTTGTTGTTGCACTGCCTAACGCTCGGCATTAGGGGTCCGGGTTCGAAACCCGACATGGGTACAAGGTGTGAAGCCCATTTCTGGTGTCCCCCGCCGTGATATTGCTGGAATATTGCTAAAAGCGGCGTAAAACCATACTCACTCACTCACTCGGCATAAGGGGTAAATACAAGGACTGGTCGGAGTATACTGTGTCTGACTTTGGTATCCATGTTAAACTGTGATATGGTTTCTCACGGGGCTAGCACCATAACACCGTCATAGGTCCGGACTAGTCAGGCAGACCACCCACCCACGCACGCACGCACGCACGCACGCGCACAAATGCTATTGCATGCACGCACGCACGCGCCCACACGTACAATCACGTCGCCATGAAAGTGCCATCATCTAGAACACAACGTTGAACCCCTGATCACATATTTCTGTAAATTACTGTACACGTTGCTTTGTAACTGTTTCGTCTGACCCAGTGTGTGTTACCTTACACCGACATCGCTGTTAATAAGCCTCATCACATGAAGCTGTCACGCCGTGGTATCACTGAAATGCAACGGGCGTTAAACCCACTCCTTCCCTCTGTGACCAGGTTCAACGGAGAGAAAAAAAAGGTCACATCATTGACGACCATGTGTAGGGGTAGCTGACATCATGTGTACGGGCTGCTGACATCGTGTGTAGGGGCTGCTGACATCGTGTGTAGGGGGTGCTGACATCGTGTGTAGGGGTGCTGACATCGAGTGTAGGGGTGCTGACACAGTGTGTAGGGGGTACTGACATCGTGTGTAGGGGTGCTGACACAGTGTGTAGGGGGTGCTGACATCGTGTGTAGGGGGTGCTGACACAGTGTGTAGGGCGTGCTGACATCGTGTGTAGGGGGTGCTGACATAGTGTGTAGGGGGTGCTGACTTCATGTGTAGGGGGTGCTGACACAGTGTGTAGGGCGTGCTGACATCGTGTGTAGGGGGTGCTGACATCGTGTGTAGGGGGTGCTGACATCATGTGTAGGGGATGCTGACATTATGTGTAGGGGATGCTGACATCGTGTGTAGGGGATGCTGACATCGTGAGTAGGGGATGCTGATATCATGTGTAGGGGATGCTGACATCATGTGTAGGGGATACTGACATCATGTGTAGGGGGTGCTGACATCGTGTATAGGGGTGCTGACATCGTGTGTAGGGGATGCTGACATCATGTGTAGGGGATGCTGACATTATGTGTAGGGGATGCTGACATCATGTGTAGGGGATGCTGACATCGTGTGTAGGGGATGCCGACATCGTGAGTAGGGGATGCTGATATCATGTGTAGGGGATGCCGACATCATGTGTAGGGGATACTGACATCATGTGTAGGGGGTGCTGACATCATGTGTAGGGGATGCTGTCATTATGTGTAGGGGATGCTGACATCGTGTGTAGGGGATGCTGACATCGTGTGTAGGGGATGCTGACATCGTGTGTAGGGGATGCTGACATCGTGTGTAGGTGTGCTGACATCGTGTGTAGGTGTGCTGACATCGTGTGTAGGTGTGCTGACATCGTGTGTAGGTGTGCTGACATAGTATGTACGGGTGTTGACACAGTGTGTAGGGGATGCTGACATCGTGTGTAGAAGGGGGCTGACATAGTGTAGGTCTGGGCTGACATCCTGTATATATGTGCAGACGTCGTGGATGTAGCTGCTCACGGCCCGTGTGTTGTTGATGTTGCAGGGGACATGTACAGTTGGTGCAAGTTCAAATGGTGCCCCAAGGACAAGCTGTGTGACGAGGACAGCGCGGCCTGCGTCTGCCCACAAGGACACGCCGAGAACAAGGACGGCGTCTGTAAAGGTTGTTATTTGCTACAGTATAGACGCCCCGTGGAGATCATGGGTCAAGAATTGAGATCAGGTGGTCAGCCTCTATAGCTGATGGTGGTCACTTTGTCCCGATGGTGTGTCCACATGTTGGAAGTGAACTGTCGGGATATTTAAGAAATAAACGACTCGAGGTCGTTGTTTATCGTACCATAAAACATTGCAGGGAGAATAAACCATGCGCGACACAGTCCCCATTGGTTTATTCTCCCTGCAGTGTTTTGTGTATAGGATAAAACACGTCCGAGGGTTGCTATGATATTTAAAACCCGCGATTTTCCGAGGGAAAGGGTTTTAAATACCATAACGACCCGATGGGAAGTGTTTTATCTTACTTATAAACCGATTTTGAACCTTAAAACAACATTTATCTACATTGTTATGTTTCGAACATACTTTCCATGAACTTTAGGAAACGGGCGTAAAATATATGTTGCTGGCGACGGATCTTGAAAAGGACATTCTAAAAAGCAGCGAGGCTTATCAACACCTCTTGAGGTACACTCACTGGGCTACAGTTATGAAGGTTGCGAGTTCGATCCTTGGGAATATAAAGAAAACATTTATCATTTGATTTTACATTTCAATACATGTTACAATCTGAACGGAAGTTATATTGATAAAATCCCTGGGATATTATAACACATTATATAGCAAATATGACGTGAATATCCTAAAAAAAGCCCGGGGATATTGTATAAAATCCCAGGGACATTACAACTTCCCTGTTTATAAGATTTAACCCGACTGGAGAACAATAGGATGACGTCACCGGAGATTTATAATGTACTGTAAACAACGACCTCGGGTCGATTATTTCTTATATGAGATATCAACATTATGTACAGAATGTTTAAGGATGTTACTAAAATGTACAAGCTTTAAAAAATATGTATCCGTATCCTAATAATGATGGCTCCCTAAATAGAATCCGACCTCGGAAATGTCGGACAAGTCCATTTAACGAACAGGTGGGATATGTTTTCCGCATATACTCACAATAATCACGTCGATTATCTGTACCTTTTCTCCCAATACCTAATGTCATATCTCTCCCACTTTTGGATGCAGTCATTCGGCCAATGCGTTTATCTGCGAAGCCCAGCTACATCCATGGGGAACATTTGACACTTCCCTCTAAAAAAAATAACGTCATCATATATGTTTGACGTTGAGAGCGCCTGTTCGAATCTTCAGAAATGAGTGAGTGAGTGAGTATGGATTAACGCCGCTTTTAGCAATATTCTAGCAATATCACGGCGGGGGACACCAGAAATGGGCTTCACACATTGTACCCATGTCGGGAATCGAACCCGGGTCTTCAGCGTGACGAGCGAACGCTTTAACCACTAGGCTACCCGACCGCCCCATCTTCAGAAATGACGTCATGATAGAACAATGTTTAATCTTGAAACAAACCACGCTTCGTTCTTCATGGTTCTTTGCGATTTATCGCGTAGATATCGTATATAGTTATACATTACAGTCCTGACTGGCCATTACCTCATGCACTTGGTGTATGTCAATATGGGTTGACCATGGTGCCGAAGGCGTGGCCTCATTAAAATGGTTCGCAGGGCCGTGTTTCATACCCTACCCAACACGGGTACACTGCGTGATGCCACCCTTCGAACCCAAGCTCTGTTGAGGCAGCCTTATGTTAAAACACTGGTAGAAATCTCCCAATTCAATGGTGGCCAATCAGAAGCTGCGACTGTGCAGCTGCCAATCAGAAGCCTTAAGGTTAATATACAGTTAATCCCTGTCAAGGTAACGTCATTCTATGAGGGTTACGATACATGTTATATTACCACTAAAAATAAATTCGTGCCAAAAAGTTGACATACATCATTTGTCATAGGAAGTTCCGGGTTCGATTCCCGACATGGGTACAATGTGTGAAGCCCGTTTGTGGTGTCCCCCGCCCTGATATTGCTGGAATATTGCTAAAAGCGGCGTAAAACCATACTCTCTCACTCACTCACTTATAAGGGCGGTCGGTAGCCTAGTGGTTAAAGCGTTAGCTCGTCACGCCGAAGACCCGGGTTCGATTCCCGACATGGGTACAAGGTGTGAAGCCCATTTGTGGTGTCCCCCGCCGTGATATTTCTGGAATATAGCTAAAAGCGGCGTAACACCATACTCTCTCACTCACAGGAAGTTTGTCGTCAAGGGACAATGGTTCATGATGTCACTGCTTTGTATTCCAGAGTCCGCGCCACAAAAACAGGCCGTGGAGACATACGTCTGGGGGGTTGTCGGTGCCAGCAGCGTCCTCGTCGTCACTTTGGCCATGGGCATCGTCCTGTACGTGTGCTGGAAGAGACGGACAGGCCTGGTCAGTGCATTGACCATTTACAAGTACCACGTTGTGTGGCGAATAGTCCTGCACCATGACCGTGGAATATATTTATTTTATGAAGAAAAAAAATAACCTAGAAATGCATGCCTACAAAAGCAAGTTTAGCCAGCTCAAGCTAGCTCTATCAGCATAGAGTCAAGAAGGATATTGTGTAATATAAGATTTCAGAGACTAAATGTTAGTCTCTATGTGTCGAAGTGAGGTGACATGGGGTTTGACGTCTCGTTCCAGATGATTGTACTTTCAGAGCGACATGCATCCTCGAGTGTGTGGCTGCTTGTACTTGACCGGACTGATGTCGATTTATAGTGCTAGCCCACTGAGATACCATGTCACAGTTAAACATGAATACCCCCCTCAGACACAGTATACTGACCCCGAGCCGACCAGTCCTTATTTTATCAGGGGGACACGGGTGGCCCAGTCGTCTAAGGCGCCGCGATTCGCTGTGCAGAGTTGCGTCCCTTGGGACGCCAGAAACCTATGATTGTGGGTTCGAATCCCGATTATGTTTCTAGGTTTGTCAGTACAATACTCGTGCTCGTGGGTTTCACCGAAGTGGTAAACGTCTGAGACCTGCATCACTTCGGGCTTTCCTCCCACATTAAGCTGACACGCCGCGATATATCTGGAATACTGTTAAAAGCGGCGTTAAACCCAACTCACTTGTTTTATCAGAAGAGGTAGGATACTGTCCTGACACAAAAAGGTTGACACAACTCGTGATTTTGTCCCCTTAAAGCTAAGCGCCAGGAAGGTATGAACGAGTACCATCTATAAACGTTTATTGGTATGACGCGGCCGGGGATCGAAGCAAGCTCTATCCACGAGGCAATGGAAGCGGTCGATTTTTTTGAAAAAAGGTTCTAACTTGAAACAAATGTTTCTATATTAGCTCCTATCCCTTTCTGGTATGGTTGCGGGGGCACAGATGGCCTAGGCGTCTAAGCCCCCGCAATTCGCTGTGCAGAATAGCGTCCCTTTGGCTTCCCAGCAACCTATGATTGTTGGTTCAAATCCCGGTTCGCCCCGATTATTTTTCTAGGTTTGTCAGTACAATACTCGTGCTCGTGGGTTTCACCGAAGTGGTAAACGTCTGAGACCTGCATCACTTCGGGCTTTCCTCCCACATTATAGCTGGAATACCGTTAAAAGCGGCGTTAAACCCAACTCACTCACTCACACTTGTATTGCTACCTACACATGGCGCAAGTATTACCATTCCTTGTGCTGACATCCGTTTTGCTAAACACGGAATGGCACGAGTGGTCAAAAATTTCTAGAAATAGGTTTTTAGAAATCGGGATTCTTTCTTAGTTTTCGTCAACGTTTGTCACTATTTTCAAGGCACAAACCTAAACGTGGCAGTTCTCTTCCGTTTCCAGGTGAAGCGGAAACAAGACAGGGCGGATATACTTGCACGGACAAATGCTGCATACTCGCACGCTCAGGTTGGCGCAATTAGCTTTTGACTGAGTTCTGTCTAGCTTAACGAGTAGACTAGTGGTGGCCGAAGTCACGTTGGCTGCGATTGGACAACACTTAACATAGCATCCATTGGTCATCAATATCGAATGACAAAAAATATAGGACTACATGATTTTTTTTTATTAACATAACCGAAGCAGTGTTTTTTTGTAACGTTTAAGGTTGAAAATGAACTTTTGGTATGTAGATATGTCTTCAGGCTTTAGGTAATGGGAACTAATCAGATGCTACGCATGCGCACCTAGGGCCAGGAGAACAGTAAAACAATTTATGTGAAAGTCTTTATGAGAATGTAAGCCACCCTAGTATATGTTCTTTTGACAAACAATTTATCGTTTGTTTTTCCATTTTCAACATCGTTAATATTTACTTTCATTTTGCTGCGTAGTATGCCACGTCCAACATCTACGAGATTATCACGAGACCCAGTGACGAGTTCCCGCGAGAACGCTTGAGATTCCTCCATGCACTTGGAGTTGGCAAGTTTGGCCGAGTGATGAAAGCGGAAGCTCTTAGCATCAACCGCACAGGATCATGGGAAGACGTTGCGGTCAAAATGTGTCAAGGTCAGTTACAACAGTCATCACAGACAGATCTGATACCACCTCATATCTGTCTGTGAACATCTGACACACATATGTCGCCAGTCAGCACAGAGACTTTTAAATGCTCGGTACGGACGAGCGAAGCATTCACAGCGGCGTATATAATGTCATTATCTCGAAAACTAACACAAACGGGCATCCGAATGGAAATAATAAAGGTCAAAAGCATGTACTATCTAAGGCTTACTACTGTCCTACTTTCTATTGTTGAGATAAAAACTTTGGAATCCATCTGGTGAAGGAATAACATAAAGCTGCCTATGGATTGGCGCAACACTCTAAGCATACTTCATAATTTGGGACCCGTGAAGATCCAGGTTAGAATAGGTCGCCAGGAACCCATGCTTGCCGTAAAAAGGCGACTATGCTTGTCGTAAGATTCGATTAACGGGATCGGGTGGTCAGGCTCGTTGATTTGGTTGATGCATGTCATCGTATCCCAACTGCGTGGATTGATGCTCATGATGTCAATCACTGGATTGTCTGGTCCAGACCCGATTATTTAGGAACCGCTGTCATATAGCTGGAATATTGCTGAGTGCGGAGTTAAACAACAAACCAACAAATCCTGTAGTTTGGATGGTGTTGTCACCTCGTCAAGGAGGTGAGGTGAGGTGAAATGGGGTTATACGTCGCGTAGAAGATTATTGCACTTATATAGCGACGTGCATGTACGTGTGTGTGTTTGTGTGGCTGCTTGTCCTAGTCCGGACTGATGCCGATTTTAAGTGCTAGCTCACTGAGATACCATGCCGCAGTTGAACATGAATACCCAACTCAGACACAGTATACGGACTCCGAGCCGACCAGTCCTTGACAGGGTAACAACAAGTACTATCTTGTTGCGTCTTTTGGTATGACGCGGTTGGGGATCGAACCCCTTCCGCTCTCCGGGCGGACGCTCTACCACTAGACCACGGAGGCGGTCACCTCGTCAAGGGGAGATTGCTGGTACCGGAGTCCAACATCGGAGTTTTATGCATTTGATGTACGCTCGAAACATGCTTAGCTTTCATTTTCACAATGAAGTCTGATAATGTGTAGATTTGTTTCGCTTTTTGTTTTGAACCTCTTTTATGAAAGTATGATGCCTGGTGAAGAATAATTAAAACGAGAACATAAAGGATGACACATATAAACACATTGGATATTTTCGTACTGAAAAGCATGGTAACTGTTGTATGGCGGAATGTCTCCAATCTTCAGTCGTTATATGGCTGTAACGTAAAATGTGACACCCATTTCATTCTTCACGGACGGACAGCTCTTTAAACGTATATATTTTTGTAGAAAACGTATGTCACTAACAACAATACGTTGATGTTAATTTTTGACTTTCCGTGCATTTTATGATGAAGATATATCGTCATTTTTCCTTTCCCCTTCAGCATTACCAGATTGTAGAAACACACGGTCTAAATTATTACCTACCATGTATAACGTAGACAGTAGGCACACACGTTCCCAATTAATTACTGACCAACAACGTTGACAGAAGTAAGGATAAGAAATTTATGGATGAACAACTTCTTTATTACAATTAAGAGCGACGTTTCGGTGTAGGTTCTAACACCGTTATCAAGCAAGTGATTATACAGAGTGCAGTAAGCAAGTATATATACAAGTAGGAGGCAATGTTTATACAGTAGAGTAGATATTGTTATACTGGAGTAGAGAAGCCTGTTGTGTATACACAAGGGCAGTGATGATAACCATCGGTGAAGTCAGTGCCATGAAACCAAAGGATGAAGCCAGTAATGTAAACAACGGGATTATGGCTGATTGTGGTCTTTTGGGGTCTTTGATGAGTTGATGGTACGCCAGGGGTATGTAATAGCCTTGGTCACGGTTGATTGAGGGCTGAAGTCTTTTGATGTTGATGGCTTCTTGTAGTTTCCTGATCTTGAAGTCTTTGAGGTTGGTGGCGAGGGTTGTGACTCTCTCCCACTGGATGCTGTGGCTTGGGTTGTCACGGATGTGGTCTGATAGAGCTGATTTAGAGTCGTCTTTGGAGACTGAGCTTTGATGTTCTTTAATTCGGGTTTTGAGGGGCCTAGATGTTTCTCCTATGTAAGGTTGTCCACAATTGCACGGAATGTGATACACTGCTCCTGATGGTTCTGGCTTGTGGCTGGATGGTGGTTTCCCTGTGGCTTTAATTGTGTTCTGAATAGTATGACTTCTTTTGAAGACTACATCAATGTTGGCCTGTTTCTTTAAGAGTCCCTGGATTTTGTGGCTAACTGTTCCAAAGTAGGGTAGGCTGATCACAAAGGGTGCAGAGTGTGGACGTGGGGATTTCTGGGATTTCTTGGTGATGGTCTTTATCGTCTGTTATATTAGTTGCTCAGGATAGCAGTTATGCTGTGTAAATACTTGACGTTGACAGAAGGCAGACCCTGTTTCTAATACGAACTTTTTAATATAAATTCTTCGTTCCGCTTGTGTGTTACGAATAAAATAGAAACCTCTTGAAAATATTTTTAAAACTTTCTTTTGAACATGCTTAAATTTTATGATTTGAGGTCATGTAAGACATGATTATCTGTCATAGCAAGCGGGAGATTAGGCATAACTTTCGAATGCTGACAGGTTCTCGTGTTGTGGACATGTATTGATAACCGAGCCACGTATTGACCCTCACGTTGTTTCTTCTCACTGTTCCCAGAGTCCGCGACAGATCTGGACAAGGAGGATCTGTACAATGAGCTCATCATCATCAGGAAGATCCCCAAACACATCAACGTCGTCAGCTTCTACGGCGCCTGCACATACGGAGGTACGTCAGCCGTGTGTGTCCATCGTGTTAAGTTTGTGTAGGTTAGAATGTGTCGGTATGGCTCTAGATACTATGTACAGTAAACTACGGTTAAAACGAACTCAAAGGGACTACTAATTTTAGTTCGTTATTACCGTAATTCGTTATAAGCATATATACAGCATAACTACAACATATAGTCGGGACCAAAAAGTTAGTTCGTTATATCCGTTAGTTCGTTATAAGCGTGTTCGTTATAACCGTAGTTTACTGTACATAAAATTAAAGTAAAAATAGTAATTATCATTATCGTGGAGCCTTAACGTGCATCACTATTTTATTGTGATAAAAAATGATTGTTTGTTCAGTAATAATTTGATATTTACATAGAATTTAGTTCGAGGAAAGCAAAGATTGTCCATTTTTTTAACGAAAGTGTTATCCTACAATGAATATCCTCGGGTGTTTGCGAGTGTGTTTAAGTCAGATTTCCACCTAGGCACTGGGAAACTTTCAGCATGTTTGGTGATCTGAATTGCTTTTATTAAGACACAAATTAGTATTTTTGTGAAGGTTTATTTTTGTTTGTTGTTTAACGCCGCTCTCAGCAGTATTCTAGCTATTTGACTGAGATCTGCTAATAATCGAGTCTCGACCAGATAATCCAGTGATTGATATCATGAGCATCAATCTTAGCCATGTTTTTGTTTGTGGAGGGTGTGTGTATGGTGGTATAACGAGGCAACATAAACGTGTAAATTCTCTGGCGTTACAGAGCCTCTCCTTCTAATCTTGGAGTATATTCCCGGCGGGGATCTGCGCAACTACCTGCGCAGACGCCGCCCTGCCTATGACAAGACCTGGGAGAGTCCTCTCAGCGTGCAGGAGAGCCCCCTAGCGGTAGAGGAAATGGTCAAAGGTGAAGAAGACGGAGAGCTGACCGCCAAGGATCTACTGTCCTTTGCTGTACAGACAGCTCGAGGAATGCAGCACCTGGAAGCTAACAGTGTAGGTTTGTTGTTGTGTTACCTTACAGCATATATGACTAACCAGGGAATGTGCATAACAAGGGAATACATCTCATCAAGGAATATGTATAACCAGGGAATATGTGTAACTAGAGAATATGTATGATCAGGGAATGTGTATAACTGGGGAATGTGTATAACTAGAGAATATGTATAATCAGGAAATATGTATAACTGGGGAATATTATAATCAGGAAATATGTATAACTAGGGAATATGCATAATCAGGAAATATGTATAACTAGGGAATATTATAATCAGGGAATATGTATAACTAGGGAATATGTATAATCAGGAAATATGTATAACTGGGGAATATTATAATCAGGAAATATGTATAACTAGGGAATATTTATAATCAGGAAATATGTCTAACTAGGGAATATGTGTAATCAGGGAATAAAATGTCTAATCAGGGAATATGTATAATCCCTGAAAAGTGCAGAGAATATATATAGTGTCTGAATATACATAATCCGATATGATCGTACAGTGATATCTCGGGATCATCCCATGGCGACCAGGGACCGTAGTCATAAAGACTTTTGGAATTGTCTTAATTCTTGCAGTTAAACATCTTGCAGTTAAGTCTGCCCTTGCCCAGTAGAAAATTCTCTTTATGAATATGACTTTAGTAAACTATCAAAATTTAAGTTGAAAAACGTAGTGTTTTCAAGGCCTTATTTTTGAGGACCAACTCTCCAGGGCTAGAGTGGGCCCCAAACTCTCTGTTGCTTGTGGAAATATGCCTCTAATATAGATCGGCTTGTCACTGTCATTAACGCGGTTGATTGCGTGTTATCGTACCCGCACCGGTGTAGGTCATGCTCATTATATCAATCCCCGCCGTTTCTTCTCCTGCTTCTTCTCCTCCTCCTACTTCTTCTCATTCTGCTTCTTCTCCTCCTCCTCCTCCTCCTTCGCCTTCTTCTTCTCATTCTTCTCTTTCTTCTTCTTTCTTGCTGACTGTAGCGTAAAATAACTTCTCCTCCTCTCCTCCTGCTTCTTCTCCTCCTCCTCCTGCTTCTTCTTCTCCTTCTCCTCCTCCTTCTGCTTCTCCTCCTCCTTCTTCTTCTCCTTCTGCTTCTTCTCTATCTTCTTTCTTGCTGACTGCGGCGTAAAATAAACCGTAGTTTGACAGGGATTTGATGTCTGTGACCATGTCGTTCCAGATTGTGCATCGTGACGTCGCTGCAAGAAACGTGCTGGTTGGCTACAACTGTGTGTGCAAGATCTCGGACTTCGGTCTCGCGAGAGATGTGGAGGGTGTGGACGTGTACGAGAGGACGTCTAAGGGGCCTCTCCCTGTCCGGTGGATGTCCCCTGAAGCCTTGATGGAGGGGTTCCACAGTCACAAGGCGGACGTCTGGGCCTTCGGAGTGTTGCTGTGGGAGATAGTCACACTAGGTAGCTAAAATATTAATTTAATCCATAAATGCTTGATTGCATATAGGGGGCACGGATGGCCAAGTCGTCTGAGGCGCCGGTATTCGCTGTGCAGAGTTGTGTCCCTTGGGCACGCCAGCAACCTATGATTGTGGTTTCGAATCCCGGTTCACCCCAATTATGTTTCTAGGTTTGTCAGCACCATACCCGTGCTCGTGGGTTTTACCGAATTGGTAAACGTCTGAGACCTGCATCACTTCGGGATTTCCCCCCACATTAAGCTGGCACGCCGTGATATAATTAGGATACTGTTAAAATCGGCGTTAAACCCAACTCACTCACTCACTTGATTGCATATAACTCGATATTACATGTTGCTTATTTAATGATTTCAATTCAGTGTTTGTTTACAACTGACAGATACCAAGAAAATGCCGGCCAAATTGTTAATATCACCCCTGGTCCCTTTACTCCTATATTCCGGACCCCTTTAATCCGGAAACCTCAACTAAACGAGCACCTCCAGGGATATTTTCACATGTACAAAGGGCCAGAGGACCATATACATAGCTTCAATAATCCGGGGCCTATGGGGGCGGTCGGGTAGCCTAGTGGTTAAAGCGTTCGATCGTCACGCCGAAGACCCGGGTTCGATTGCCGATATGGGTACAATGTGTGAAGCCAATTTGTGGTGTTCCCCGCCGTGATATTGCTGGAATATTGCTAAAAGCGGCTTTAAACCATACTCACTCACTCCGAGGCCTATGTTACCTCATAAAGTCACTAGTTCGTTAAACCGAACGAATGTCTTGTTGTTGCCCTGGCTGGCGCCCGGCATTAAGTGATAAGGACTGGTCGTCAGTTTATTGTTCCTGAGAGGTCTAGCCGCCTTTCAATCTGGCATCTGTCCCGGCTATAACAAGCCGCCAGACGTCGCTATTTAAGTGCCTTACTCTTGAACGCGACGTTAAACCCCATTTGACCGCATCCTTATCATTTATCAAAAGTGAAACTGATATCGTGTACGGTAGTGTGTTATTGTGATATGATTTATTTTGCTAAAAGCACTCACTCACTCATACACGCCCGCACGTTATTATGTAAACGATTAGTTTCCAGTGTCTGGAGGAAATAATTTTCATAAAGGAAATTACTCCAGTGTTATTAAGATACTGGCTGTGGAAATAATATCCTTGGCAAAAATTTCCATGCGGACGTTTTTACCTAGGATATACTTTCTCCTTGAAAGAATCTCCAGGGTGAATCAATATCCTGTTACAGTTACTAGGCCACACATCGGAGCTTAACGCCAAAAAAACGCACGCACGTACGCACGCATGCACGCACGCACGCACGCACGCACCAACCCACTCACTCACTCACTCACTGACTGATGTCTCTCTCCCCAGGAGCGAGTCCCTACTCCACGATGACGCTGCGAGGGGTTATTGACGCTGTTGTTGCTGGGAAACGCCTGGAGCGACCCCAGTACTGTATGGACGAACTGTAAGTGTGATGTCAGTACCGTGTGTCTATGTGTTTGCTGTTAGCTTGGAACTGCAGGGATAAACATGTACCACGTCAGTACAAAGGTGATCCCATCAGGATATGGGCCGGTGTAGTCCCAGGAAGCCATGTATTTCTATATACCGACTGTCTGTTGTGTTTCTTTGTTTGTTGTTTAACGCCGCACTCAGCAATTCTCCAGCTATATCACGGCGGTATGTCAATAATAGAGTATGGACCAGACAATCCAGTGATTGACATCATGATCATCGATCCACGCAATTGGGACACGATGACATGCATCAACCAAGTCAGAGAGCCTGTCCACCCGATCCCGTTAGTCGTCTCTTACAACAAGCATCGATTGCTGAAGACCAATTCTAACCCGGATCTTCACGGGTCACATACCAACTGAAAAGGGGACATGGTGTTTCAAACATGTGACTTGACTGAATATAATTAAAGTCTTAATAAGAAAGGCACTTGGAAGAAGATGAAGACATCCAATTTATTTTACGGAGGGGACTCCGCGTTAGAATGGGTCCCCACAATCTAGGCCGTCCGAGAGAGGCAGCTAAATGGATCGGGACTCGGTAAGATGCTTAATTGCGTGTCATCGAACCCGACAGCGTGGATCGCTGCTCATAATATTGTCTGGTCAAGACTCGATTATTTATAAGGCGACGTCATAAAGCTGGAATACTGCTACGTGCGGGTTAAAAAACAAACGAAATATTTTATGGATTTCAACTCCTTTTTCAAAGGATAATATGTCATTATACCTCGTCGAATTAAATGGTTGCCTATCCTTTCTGGCGCTTGTTTGTACACGGGGCAGCTGCATTGCGGCATGTTACAACAGTCACTCACTACCGTGGCTCCTAAACCTGACATGTACCCGCCCTGGAAGATGGGAATATGAATGAGCCTGAAGTGTAGGTTGTGTTCCTTTGTGTGAGATGAGGTTGCAATTATAATGCACGTTCGTCCATAGACACGGAACAAAACTGAGATGCGTGATGGCGGCCTCTTTTGCATTATCAGTGCTGATCAATACCCATCACCCCTGAAACGTAAATAGACTAACCCAATCATGCACATTCATGCGATGCTTGTTCCCCAGGTACTCGTTGATGAGCAAGTGCTGGGAATTACAGCCTCAAGACCGACCCAGCTTCAAGGAGCTCGTGCAGCACGTGGAATACCTGCTTGAGAAGGAGGCGGACTACATACAGCTCGACCAGTTTCAGGAGGCCGTGTACATGGTGCTGGAGCCAGACTCCCACGACGAGAAGCTATGAGAGTTATCGTTCTTGGATACGATGGGATCGCCATACGAGTCGAACTTGATTGAGGAGGAACGGTGCGTGTGCGAAGTGACTGATTGTGAAAAGCATTGCTAAATGACGTGTAAGCCTGAACAATGAGGGTTGCTTAGTTTAGAAGAACCTGCAGCAGTTGTCGTTCTTGGATAATAACCCATCGTTCTACTTATGATATTATAGTCTCGTAATTGAGATATGTTATCGTGTACAATTATCAATTATAGTAATTGATATACATCACAACTACAAATGGCAACTTCAAAGTTGTATTGAGGTCAAGAGGTCACAAGTTAAACTCAGCTCAGAACCCAATGTCGGGAGTGATGCCGTTGACAGGTTTTGTCACTTGAAACTTACCCGGCTCATGTTTAGCACGGCTCTCTATGTGGATGTACTGCGGGGGTTCACGGAGGAAGAACAGGAAAGAAAAGAGGAAGACAATTTATGTAAATTATTTTTGAGATCAAGTGTCGGTAAGATGGACTTTGCACCACGATCTTAAACCGTTTTCACACATTGGAATCACGGGTGCCGTGTGTAAAACGTCGACGACATCGTCTCTGAAGAATTTGGATAACCATCATCTGTTTGACTCATATATATACTCTGCCTTATCATTGAGGTTAATAAGGGATAAACCGGTTTATGTTCAGTTTCTAAAAGTGTAGTTCATTTGCATCTGGAATGATCCATTTTAAACCCACATTGACTATTACTTGTCATGTATTGCACGTTCATGGCTAAGCCACTGGTGTTGCGTTCAGGCGTGTGTTTTTTCAAACTTTCAATCTTGCATTTTTCGTTGTTTTAAATAGTCACTGTCCATTTTTCATTTTTTAGAAAAAGATCAGTCGGTGTGATATAGGTATAAACACCGTGTTCTGCAACTGTTAATCACATTGTCAACATACTCAGACCTCTTGACGCTTGTTGGCATGTGTTCATGTTTGACACCACACACTAATGACACCGAGTGTATGTGGTGATGTGTGCGTGTTGCAGACTGCACTGTCAGTCATGGCCGAAAGGAGTGACCCACTTCTCCAGCTGGCGTAGAAGACAGTCCTCCATACGTTCATGTCTGTAATCTATGTAACCTACACAGGACATGTTACATTTCCGCATGATTGCAGTATCACACAACGGGAAACCATACAGAATGTCCATCATTCATCACTGTGTGAAACAATCGTTAATGCATGTTGTAATATATGTTGTAATAGATGTTGTAATATATGTTGTTATAATTGTTGTAATATATGTTGTAATATATTCATTTATCATCCCGACCCGTGAAGATCCGGGGTAGAATAGATCTTTAGCAACCCATACTTGTCGTAAGAGGCGACTAACTGGATCGGGTGGTCAGGCTTGCTGACTTGGTTGATGCATGTCATCGTATCCCACTATTGTGGATCGATGCTCATGATGTCAATCACTTGATTGTCTGGTCCATACTCGATTTTTTACATACCGCCGTCATATAGCTGGAATATTGCTGAGTGAGGCGTTAAACAACAAACAAACATTTTTCATCCCAAAATGGCTTCTACAGGATATGTCGTTTCGGTGAAATCAAGCGATAAGTCCTAGGCAGTATCACCACATTGAAATTGCATCATAATACTTCGCGGATCATTGTGTGGTCCGATGAATCGTTGTTCATGTTATCAACCACTGGTTTCCTGGGCCTGACCTGAAGATGTCCAGGCAGATATGATATACCTGTGATATTACTGACTGCGGTGTTCATCCACTAGCTTACAGATATTCCACCGCCTCCGTGGTCTAGTGGATACAACGTATGTCCGGAGACCGACTCCATGGTCTAGTGGATACAACGTCTGTCCGGAGACCGTCTTCGGGGTCTAGTGGATACAACGTCTGTCCGGAGACCGTCTTCGTGGTCTATATGGATACAACGTCTGTCCGGAGACCGCCTCCATAGACTAGTGGATACAACGTCTGTCCGGAGACCGCCTCCGTGGTCTACCGGATACAACGTCTGCCGAGAGACCACCTCCGTCGTCTAGTGGATACAACGTCTGCCGAGAGACCACCTCCGTCGTCTAGTGGATACAACGTCTGCTCAGAGACCACCTCCGTGGTCTAGTGGATACAACGTCTGTCCTGAGACCGTCTTCGTGGTCTAGTGGATACAACGTCTGTCCGGAGACCGATTCCGTGGTCTAGTGGATACAACGTCCGCCAGAGACCGACTCCGTGGTCTAGTGGAGAAAACGTCTGCTCAGAGACCACTTCCGTGGTCTAGAGGATACAACGTCTGTCCTGAGACCGCCTCCGTGGTCTAGTGGACAGAACGTCCTTCGGGAGACCACCTCCTTGGTCTTGTGGATACAACGTCTGTCCGGAGACCGCATCCGTGGTCTAGTGGATACAACGTCTGTCCGGAGACCGACTCCGTGGTCTAGTGGATACAACGTCTGTCAGGAGACAGACTCCGTGGTCTAGTGGATACAACGTCTGTTCAGAGACCGCCCCCTTGGCTTTGTGGATAGAACGTCTGCCCGGAGACCGTCTCCGTGGTCTAGTGGATACAACGTCTGTTTCGGAGGCCGCCTCCGTGGTCTAATGGATACAACGTCTGTCCGAAGACCGCCTCCGTGGCTTAGTTGATTGAACGTCTGTCTTGAGACCGCCTCCGTGGTCTAATGGATACAACGTCTGCCCGTGGAGTGGCCCCGTGTGGTTTATTCTCTTTTCAGTGTTTTATTGAACGATAAACAACTCTCAATCGTCGTTTATTTCTTATATGAGATTAACATTATCTACGCCTTGTTAATGACGATGATAAAATGTACAAGCTTTAAAAATATTTACCCGTATCTTAATAATGATGACTCAATAGAATCCGACCTCGGCAATGTCGGACAGGTCCATTTTATGCACAGGTGGATATTTCCTGCATATTCTCACAATCATCGCGTCGATCACCTGTACCTTTTCTGTCATTACCGAGTGCCATCATACGGTACTGTTTATGGCGCTTTTGTTATTATTTCTTCCTTTTATTCAGTAAGTTACATTATTCCATTTAATGAATTCATGAATTTTTCGGTACTAGTTCGAGATATTCTTCTTATAATATATACTTTTATGTACGATTTATTTACTAGAAATGTTTATTTCTTTTTACAATGGACGTTAGTACGCATAATGTTCTTGTTTGTTATTTCTTGTTTATATCATACTTGAATAAAAATGTTTCAACGATAATCGAATTATGTTTTTTTCATCCATTTCCTTTGTGAAAATTGCAAACTTTATAAACAAATATAAATTTATTTTAGCTTTATGACAAGCACACAGTCTGAAACGAATTTTTCCCCTTTTCGTCGGCGGGGATTGCGAACAAATACGTGTACGTCCCAAGAGTCTTTGTCAAATATATCAATTGTGTGGATCGATGATCATGACATCAATCACTTGATTGTCTAGTCCAGACCGCGGTCATGCTGTTCGAATACTGCTGAGTGCGGCGTTAAACAACAAGCAAAGAATAAACATCGCTTGAGACATACATTTACCCTTGGTTATATTGAAATGCTTGTACATATCCGTGGAATTCTGGAAAACTGCCTCACTAAATATTAATCAAAACCAACATGAAGTCTTTTTTTAAGACCAAACATTTCACAGTTGTACTGTGAAGCTGTACAGCAAGAACTGAATGCACGTGTGCCCCCTCAATGACCGAATATGTAAGCAGATGCATATGCATACTTGAAACTTGGTCAACAAAACGTCACGTTGCAAACGTCCTTTGCTTCATCCAAAGTGTAATCAGGGAATGGAATCAATACCAGACGTTTGGATCAGCCATCCAGCGACATGCACGCGGTTGACAGAGCCCCACCAGACAGGGGGAAGACGGGTTTCCCCTGATTGCAGCAACACGTCTGCCACCAGACTCAGAAACGACCTGTGGAACGCATGTGGCGTTAACGTTTCTACTCAGAGAGTGCATAGACGTCTCCGTTTTGATTGGGCTGAAGATTACGTCAGTTGGACATACCAGGACAGGGCTTCAGAACCATTCACTAATGAATCGAGTTAGTGTCAATACTTACAGATCGTCGTGCCCAAGTCGTCCAACGTAGCCGAACATGGCCGCTCTGGGGGTGGCTCAATCATGATTTCTTGGTGGGATCAGCAGATCTGGAAGTGAACAGTCTGGCCACCAGACCTTAGCCCTGTCGAACACATGTGGAACTAAATGCAAACGGGCATGTAATAATGAAATAATCACTTACATTATCCAAAAGAAAACGACATGTCCTTCTTTCGAACATTTAAGTTTGAATTAAATTATGAGTGAGTGAGGTTTTTCACTGCTTTTGTCAATATTCAAGCCATATCGTGGCATGGGCACCAAGAACTGTTTTATTCATGTTGGTAACTGCGAATTACCTTAGAACAATGTGATGTCGCGGTTAGCCCCGTCGTCTAAGTCGCCGCAGTTCTCTTTGCAGAGTTGCGTCCCTTGTGCACGCCAGAAACCTATGATTGTGGGTTCGAGTCACGGTTCGCCCCAATTATACTTGTAGATTTATCAGCACCATACCCTTGCTCGTGGCTAAACGTCTAAAACCTGCATCACTTCAGGTTTTCCTCCCACACCATCTGACACGCCTTGACATAACATGAATACCGTTTAAAGCGGCGTCAAATCCAAGCCACTCACTCACTCAGTCATAAAGGATTGCTATTATTTCCCTGTATGAGTTCATAGTTAAGTAACGTCAAATATATTTACCCTTGTTTTCGAGTGAGTGAGTTGGTTTGCCTTCGTGTCATCGCATCGTGCCTTCGTACTCTCGCCCTCATTAAGTTATGTAGGATGGAGGATGAGGATGGAACAAAATCACTCGATAATACGAAGATACGCAATGACAGCTATCAGCCACCCACCCGTGAAGATGCGTGTTAGAATAGGTCTTCAACTTGTCGCATAAAGACGAGTATGCTTGTTGTGAGAGGACTGACGGGTTCTTGCCGTCAGACTCGCTCACTTGGTTGTTGCATGTCATCGTATCCCAATTGCGTGGATCGATGTTCATGATATCAGTCACTGAATTTTCTGGTCCTGATTCGACGATTATTGCTAAACGTAATCATCCATCATGTATAAATGAGGAAGGGCCATACCCAGAAAGCCCAACCTTCATGTGAATGATTATGCTTGTAGGTAATTTCAATGCATCATTTACACAATCATTACCTTCCACAATGGATACCGTGCGATTGCAGTAAACATGTGCTACTTTATTTATTATAACCAGATGGACCAAATAAATGTTCAAATATTGTTTTCATCATCGTGAAAAGTCTGAGATTTGTTTCAACATTTTAAAGTGTCACAGTACTTTATCTGCAAGCATGAAATATAGAAATTGACAATTATGAAACAAGTAACTGATTTTCAGCAATTTTAATCTCTTAAATTCAATAATGAATATTAAAAAAATAAAAAGACAAATAAGCTTGTGATATCCCTTGTGGCCTCCATCGCCAGGCGGGAGTACTACTGTGCGACGTCAGGAAACGAATACTTATTCATCTTATGTACTTGTCTGTTCCGAACCTGTGTCATTTGATATTTTCCTGCCTTGGCGTGTAATATCTAAATAAGTGAACATCGTCGGTCTGTCGTGTTTCCAGACTGAATTGAAGACACGGTACATGTGTAGGATATATTCATGAAGGCATGCCGACACGTTTGCCCATTTTAATGATGAGCTGACCTCCAGTACAGTAGCTCTGACTTACTGATATTGACCCACTAGTATGTCCCCTGTATCACTGTTTGCGATTCCTCCTTTGGCCAGACCCCGTTCTTCTGCGCGTTAGTACCGCTTCCCCTCCAGTCCCACTGCTTCACTGAAGTGTTCCAGTTCTTGCCATAGGCAGCAGTGATGTAGGGCAGAGTAGGACAGGGGACGCGCAGTCGGCAAGCCATGAAGTCAGTCCAGCAAGTGTCAAACTTTGGATAAATGTATCTGGAATAATAGTCATGCATATATCCTTCTACCTGGGTGTTATTATTAGAAGTAAAACGTATTTAAATACTATCTATATTGATTACCAGCAGAACGGACTAAAGACCACTAGCAACCAAGGCAGGGCCGCTCAATAGGCATGAGGCCCCAGTAGCATGCAGTGATGAGCATCATGTGTGAGTTAGTGAGGGAAAAAAGGTCAACATGACATCAGCCTCATCTCAGCCATAAGAGTTGCCTGCAAACTGTAATCTTTAAGAGTGAGTGAGTATGGTTTTACGCCGCTGTTAACAATATTCCAGCAATATCACGGCGAGGGACACCAGACATGGGTTTCACACATTGTACCCATGTCGGGAATCGAACATAGGTCTTTCGGCGTGACAAGCG